ATACACGCTCACAGCTGCCGTATCCACCCCTTGCTATTCCCAGCTACATTTGGGTTCAGTGGACCGCGGCTTTGATCGTGATGGCATAGATCACGTAGAACAGTTAACTCTGGGTCGAATTGCTCGGCGGTGCGGGTAGTATGGTCGGGTGTTATCAGCTAGGTGGTACTGATCCCTGATTGCCCCCCCCCCCCCCTCCCCTTCTCTTCCCCTTACCGTCTTTGGAGGCATCTTGCGCATGGAGTGGGTCTGGAGACTGTGTGTGGACACTGTATGTGGGAGTGTGTGTGTGTGTGTGTTTAGCCACGTATGACCGCGCCTCGTCTGTGGACTGTAAGTGGAGTACCGTGAAGTCGGCTGTTGTTGACGCGGCGGAGCAGGTGGTTGGTCGGGACAAGCGGCGGATGCCAGATTGGTTCCGTGACAATGCCCTTGTATTGGAGCCTCTACTGGAGTCTCGTAATACCCTGTATAGCCAATGGCTGAGAAGCGGCAGGGACTCTGATCACCGGGCATTCAAAGAAGCGCGTGGCCGGGCTCGTACTGGTATCCGGAAGGCAAAAACAAATTGGTTGATGGACAAAGCGGCGGTGGTGCACCGTGGACGTTTCAGTGGCAAAGCTGTCTGGTCTGCCATTCGCGACATGCAACGCTGCTTTGGGGGCTTGCAACCCCTGTCTGTCCAATCCATCCGCAATGCCGATGGAGTTCTTTGCGAATCTGTTCAGGAGCAGCAGGGCACATGGCATGGGCATTTCTCGGGTGTCTTGAATGTCTGCAGTGTGTACGATCCGCATGTCTTCCAACTTATCCCTCAGCGTGAGGTCGAGGACTCCCTCTCACTGCCACCATCGGAGGATGAGCTGACTCAGGCAATTAGACACCTACAGAATGGCAAAGCTGGTGGTATGTCACAGATTGTGCCGGAGCTGCTGAAGGTTGGTGTGCCTGTCCTCCATCCACTCCTCCTGGACCTACTCCAATCTGTCTGGTCGGGGGGTTGCGTGCCCCAGGACTGGCGCGATGCACTGCTGGTACCGATTCCAAAGAAGGGCGACCTCTCTCGTTGCGATAATTGGCGAGGGATCGCATTGCTGGAGGTTGTCGGCAAGTTGGCTGCTCGGATCATGCAAAACCGATTGCAAGGTATTGCTGAGGCGGAACTGCCTGAATCCCAATGCGGGTTTCGGCGGCACCGTGGTTGTGCGGACGCCATCTTCTCTGTCCGTCAACTTGTCGAGAAGTCGTACGAACATCGATCGAAGCTCTTCTGCGTATTTGTGGATCTCCGCAAAGCATACGACTCTGTCCCTCGCGAAGCTCTTTGGCAGGCATTGCTGCGGCTGGGTGTGCCGCCCCCGACTGTGGCCATCATCAAATCATTCCATACAGACATGTCAGCTTGCGTTCGCGTTGCCGGTGGTTGCACGGATCCGATATCTGTCAAGAATGGGCTGCGCCAAGGGTGCGTTATGGCACCTGTACTGTTTAACTTGTACTTCGGCTTAGTTATTGAGCGTTGGCGATCCCTTCTCGTTGAGCGTGGAATAGAGTCTGGTGTGGACTTCAGCTTCACAATTGATGGCCAGCTGTTCCCTCGTGTCACTAGGCGTCGTCCCCACTCCGAGTCCGGCCATGCTGATGACTTCGAGTTTGCGGATGATGCTGTACTGCTCGCTACAACTCGCAACGCAGCCGATCAATCCCTGTGTGCCTTTTGTGAGGTCGCATCCAGCTTGGGTCTCACAGTGAGCATGACCAAGACCAAGCTTCTCGTTGCAGGTTTCGGAGTTTGCCCTGCTGATTGCTCTGATTTGGTCATTGGCAGTGATAGGGTTGAAGCAGTCACCTCATTCCCCTATCTTGGTTCCACCATCACTCCAGACTCGCGGTCGCAAGCGGACATTCGGAGCCGTCTAGCAAAGGGTGCAGGGGCCTTTGGTGGTCTTCGGCGCATCCTACATGACCGGAGCCTGAACCTCCCTACCAGGCGCCACCTGTATGTCGTTTGCGTACTGTCAACGGTTCTGTATGGTTCAGAATGCTGGACGCCGTTGAAGGCAGATTTAGATAGAATGGACCGGTTTCACCATGCCAACATTCGCTCCATCCTTGGCGTATCGCGAGGCCGACAGTGGGAACAGCGCATCTCTTCACAAGAACTGCGAGCACAGTGGGGTGATCCCACACCATTGTCACGCATGGTGCAGCAGAGACGGTTGGAGTGGCTTGGGCACCTGGCTCGTCTTGATGACACCAGAGTACCGAAGCAGTTGCTGTTTGCCTGTCTCCCTCAGTCTCGGCCATTCTGTGGACCTCGTCGTCGCTGGAAGGACACCATTCACACGGACCTATCCGTGGCTGGAGTGCGTAACTGGTTTGAGTTGGCAAGCGATCGTGGAGAGTGGCGTGGAGTGGTGACAGCAGCAGGTGAGGACAAGGAACCCGCCCCGAAGAGCATCGAGTGCCCAACCTGCAACCGTCTGTTCCGCCGTAGTTC